TGAATGTTCTGAATGCATCATAAAAGAATCCAGGTTCCACATACCATGTCTATCAAAGGGACTACAAGGTCTTCCTCATTTGTACTGACTTAAAATCGACAAATTACGGACTGAACAAGGTATGATATTCCAAATTCGAACCCATATCTTCAATGCTTCGGTCCAGAAACTTACAAAGAGGTTTTCTTCATAACTTCGCTAAAAATCCTCATATTGCTAAAAGAATGACTGTTTTGGGCAGCTAATTACCAAATCTAACCATTCCTATCATTTTTTGACAGATTTAGGGAAAATAATTTTTTTGACAATTTTCGCATTTTTTGTAAGGGGTAACATCAACAAATCGGAAAAACGACTTTTGCCAAATATTGGATATTTTCAATGGGAATTTTCATCATAACTTCGGCAAAAATGATCATAAAGATGAAAGAATAACAGTTTTGAGCAGCTCATTACCAATGCTAACTATCCCTATCACTTTTTGATCGATTTAGGAAAATACAATTTTGGGTCAATTTTTGCATTTTTTGTAAGGGGTAACATCATCAAAAATTGCAAAAAATGGAAAAAAAATTGAATTCCCATTTTTGAACACAGTTCGATTGGAAATTTAATTACGAGCTCAACGAGGTATGGCATTCCATATTCAGACAATTATTTTTCAAGTTATGGCCAAAAAACTGATTATTTTATGACGGAAATTCCAAAAAACCACCTTTGGCAAATTCGATATTTTCCATGGGAATTTTCATCATAACTTCGGTAAAAATTATCATAAAAATGAAAGAATAACAGTTTTGAACAGCTAATTACCAATGCTAACTATCCCTATCACTTTTTGATCGATTTAGGAAAATACAATTTTGGGTAAATTTTCGCATTTTTTGTAAGGGGTAACATCATCAAAATTTCCAAAAAATGGAAAAAAAATTGAGTTCCCATTTTTGAACACAGTTCGATTGGAAATTTAATTACGAGCTCAACGAGGTATGACATTCCATATTCAGACAATTATTTTTGAAGCTGTGTCCAAAAAACTAATTATTTTGTGACGGAAAATCGGAAAAACGCCTTTTGCCAAATATTCGATATTTTCGATGGGAATTTTCATCATAACTTCGGCAAAAATGATCACAAAGATGAAAGAATAACAGTTTTGAGCAGCTAATTACCAAATCTAACCATTCCTATCACTTTTTGACGGATTTAGGAAAATTTGTTTTTGGGTCAATTTTTGCATTTTTTGTAAGGGGTAGCATCATCAAAATTTGTAAAAAATGGCAAAAAAATTGAGTTCCCATTTTTTAACACAGTTCGATTGGAAATTTAATTACGAGCTCAACGAGGTATGGCATTCCATATTCAGACAATTAATTTTGAAGTTGTGACCAAAAAACTGATAATTTTATGACGGAAATTCCAAAAAACCACTTTTGGCAAATATTGGATATTTTCGATGGGAATTTTCATCATAACTTCGGTAAAAATTATAATAAAGATGAAAGAATAACAGTTTTGAACAGCTAATTACCAATGCTAACTAACCCTATCACTTTTTGACGGATTTAGGAAAATTTATTTTTCGGTCAATTTTTGCATTTTTTTTAAGGGGTAACATCATCAAAATTTGCAAAAAATGGAAAAAAAATTGAGTTCCCATTTTTGAACACAGTTCGATTGGAAATTTAATTACGAGCTCAACGAGGTATGGCATTCCATATTCAGACAAATATTTTTGAAGTTGTGACCAAAAAACTGATTATTTTGTGACGGAAAATCGGAGAAACGACTTTTGCTGGGAATTTTCATCATAAAAGATATTTTTCATTCGTAAGTGCGAATCGATTGGAAATTTAATTACGAACACAACGGGGTGTAACATTCCACATTTGAGTAGTTTGTCGATTGTTATGACCAAAATACAGATTTTTTTGGGGAAGATTGGGATAATCCGTAGATCCACAGGCTAAATACAAAATATGTCCCGCAACCAAAGGGAACTTAGCCACAATGTTGTATCCATATGTACTATGTACTCGGAATATTATTTCCTAATGAATATTATTATTTTATTTTTATTTATTTTCTGCAGCGATCGTTTTCGGAGCCGCAGACGCGCCTCGATTGCTCCTCTGCCCGCCTTGCGGCTGAACAGCAAGGAGATGCTGGCCAGCGACTTCGATAGCCACAGCCTGGCCTCCAATCAGGCCTCCATCACCAGCGTGAACTCCCTGGCCAGCTTACTGCGCGAGAAGATGCAGGTGAGTTGGTGAGTTTGAGATCAAAGGTCATGTTATTGAACACCTCCACTTATCCACAGGCCTTTCCGCAGCTGATAAGGAAGAAGAAGCGCGAGACGAAGGACTACAAAATCAAGATATTCGTCATCATCATGTTCTTCATCATCATATTTCTGGTAAGCAGCAATCAGCGGCACTCACTCATTCATTCATTTATTCAGTCCAAGTGGGAATCACCAGCATAGTGAGTGATCATACGCATGATGCAGAGCTTTTAATAGAAATTCCCAATAGAATTTCCAGATTACTTCGCGGAGGAAGCTCCTAATATCAATAAGACGCTGATTTCGCATTTTTGGCCGACTTAGGCTTGTCAAAACGAACTGAAGGCATTCTACTAGCTACAAGATAAACGTACTTTGTTCGCCTGCAGATACATAAAGCGGGATCTAATCATTTTGCCTGGTGTCCAAATGGGTTTTAAGAAGTGTTGAACTGTTAGGCCTTTTATCACAGTGCCCTTCATTTGAGCGGCCTTAAAGTGAGGCACTTTGACAGGGTTACTCCCAGAAACTTAGGGCCTTACCAGATATACAGAGATATGCATTTGAACCCTTTGAATTCGGTTGCAGATCGGCTACGCCTACGTGGCCTACCACCAGCAGGTGCTCACGAGGAGCTACTTCCAGAAGATCAAGTTCAACTCGCACGACCGCATCTTCCGCATCCTGAGTCACGAGGACAAGGAGGTGATAGCGGGTCAGCTGGGCGTGACCCTGGGCTTCGACACGGCGCCATTCGACTGCCTGGAGGAGCAGCGCCGGAATGACGGGAGCGTGTGCATCGAGTGGAACGGCATAGCGCGACTGCATCTGAATTTCGAGGACAAGGGCGTCTTCCGGTGCTACACGCTGCAGTGGCAGGCGCTGACTCCGGGTCTCCTGCCCACCGACTGCTACGAACTGAAGCGGGACAATGGGCTGTGGTTCGGTGGCGGCGTGACCAAGGGTCAGGAGTGGTCGCTGAGCTATGCCAACTTCGACTTTGCACCCTACGCCTCGGGCGACTCGAAGATCCATCAGTTCGGCAATGGGGTGAAGAGGTACTTCATCAACTCGATTGGCGTGGCCATGCAGGTGAGCGAGAAGACGCCACTGCAGCTGGGCGTCAACCGGACGGAGAATCGCTTCTGTCTGCGGGCGGCCAACGACGAGTTCACCTTCGTGAATCGCCTGACGCCGCTGCCGCAGCTGGACTACCGCATCTGCACCACGGAGGACATGCGCAGCCTGCACATGCTGATGACCCAGCAGAGCCTGTGGGATGGCCTGAAGGAGCAGGAGTTCAAGGTGCTGCATTCGCTGCTGGAGGAGCCCGTTTGGAGGATACCCCATACCGAGTTGCCCGAGTCCCTGAACGAGTCCGCCATCTGTGACTACTCGGAGAGTGCCATTGCCATGGGCCTGGGCCACATTGTGATCAATGAGTTCTGGCAGGAGAACATTGGCGACTTCACGGTGGACAAGGCCAGATTTCCCACCCTCAAGGACACCATCGATGTGCTGCACAGGAGGGGATTCAAGGTGGTCCTGACCATCCAGCCGTTCATCAGCACGGACAGTGTCAACTTCAAGGATGCAGTGAAGCGCAAGCTGCTGATCTACGAGCGCCACTCGGAGCGCAGTATTCCCGCCCTGACCAGATACAAGAGCAGTTCCAGCGCCGGCGTCCTGGACATAACCAACAATGCGTCCGTGCCCTGGCTGCTGGAGAAGCTGCAGCGCCTCAAGGAGGAGTACGGCGTGCAGAGCTTCTATCTGGACCTGGGCACGGGCTACAACCTGCCGCACTACTACCAGTGCCGCCAGACCCTGGACAATCCGGACACCTATGCCAGGCTGTTCACCGCCAGCCTGGAGGGCGCTGGCCTGATGGCCGTCTCCACGGCGAGTGTGGTGCCCAAGCCACCCACTTTCCTGAGCACTCCGCCGGCGAACGCCACCTGGGAGGGATTGAGGGAGACCCTGGGTGCTGTGCTAAACTACGGCGTCATCGGTTATCCGTTCGTGTTGCCGGGCGTGATCGGTGGCGACTATCTGCTGCAGCGACCGCTCTCCAAGATGGTCACCTTCTATTCGATGGCCCAGCCACCGCTGCCCGAGCCGGAACTCTTCATCCGCTGGCTCCAGCTGGCCACCTTCATGCCGGCCATGCAGTTCAGCCACCTGCCCTCGGAGTACCGCAGTGACCTGGTCACCCGGGTGGCCCAGGAGCTGAAGGAGGTGCGCCAGCTGATCGTGATTCCGCTGCTCAAGAAGTACCTCAATCCGTCGATGAACGAGGGACTGCCCTTGGTGAGGCCACTCTGGATGATGGATCCCCACGATCCCGCCTGCCTCATCGTCAGCGACGAGTTCTCCGTGGGCGAGGAGCTCATCGTGGCCCCCATCCTGCATGCGAACCGCGAGGAGCGCGAGGGTGAGTCAAATACATACTTGCTACTTACTGCAATTCCTTATTAATGCTCCTGGTTGCAGTTTACTTGCCGCAGGGCGTGTGGAAGGACGGCATCGATGGATCGCTGAGGAAGGGCAGTCGCTGGATGCACGGCTACCGGGTGCCGAAGGACAAGATCGCCTACTTCCGCAAGATGCCGGACAACACGCGTTTCTAGGCGGCTCATCCTGATGCACTGCATCCTTTCTCCCAGCAGAACCCATGTGATATGCACTACACAGTGAGCGAAAGAGTGTTTGGCAATTCCGCGTACATCTATCTGTATTGAGTAACCTAAATACTATATATCGATAAGCCCGCGATCGTAATACATAAGATCCTTATCGCTAGTGCCTAAGCGTTATCCTAAGCCTATGTAATTTCCACGATTTTTTTTTCATTTTCTTTGTGCGTCGTACGGTAGTTAAGTTAAGTACATCTGGGATGATCGCTTAGTCGCTGAATAAATATGTTCCACTGCAAGGCGCTGCTCCTGCAGTGGCGTCAATAAATAGGGAGTGCTCCACTCCGTGCTACTTGGTCCTGCAAATCGGCAGCGGGGACTCGCAGGGCTCCGTTTCCGGCGGCTTCGGCAGCAGTCCACACTCCGCATCGGCCACCACCACGTCGTGTTGGTCCAGACAGACGACGGATCGGCGGCGGTGCGGCGACGCCACGGAGCCGGCTGGGCGACAGGTGACCGGACAAAACTGCCAGGGACCTGGCCACCAGTGGGCAGGACACGGCTGGTCGCCACAGCCGCGCGACTGGCGGGCAGGTCTCTTGTTCTTGGCGTGCGTCCAGCAGGGCAGCGTGTCGCCCAAAGCTGCGAGAAGATTACGTTTAGTGGGCATTTCCCCAGCGGATGGTTGGACTCACCTTTGCCGTTCTCCTGGCAGCTGGGCTCCCGGTGCTGCACTCCGCCGCCGCAGCTGGCGGAGCACGCGGTCCAGTTGCTCAGGCGCCACAGGAACTGCCTGCCAGCGGTCACATTCAGCGCCGGCAGCGTGAACTCGTAGAAAATGCCAGCGTTGCTCTCATTGCCGCGCACAATCGCCTGGAAAAGAGAAACCATGTGAAAATCCGTGGACAATCCGTGTGGAAATCCGACAAACTCACATATAGCGATATGGAATGCTGGATGGGCTGAGGTATTGTGATGGTCTCCTGCTCGTCGACGCGGTCGTAGAAGCTCTCGGCGCCGGCGATCTCGAACTCGCCGGGCATGGAGATGAGGCTATCCCCGTTCAGATAGAACCGATCCCCGCCGCCTCCGCCGCCGGTGGCGATGGCAAGGAAGTGCGGCGAGTTGGCCAACTCGCGGATGAGGATGTGCCGAGCGCGTGCCGGTATGGTGACAATCTCCACGTAGGCGCCATCCTTGGCGGCAAGCGGATCCGCGAAGGTGTCCCTCACCGGCTGGCACTGATCGCCAGCACCGCCGCAGATACCGCACCGATCGTCCTGCACCTCCGAGTCGACGATCCAATCGCAACCAACTTTCTGAACAAGACGCGGTTCGCGGTCAGTTATCGGACATGGGATTCGGAATACGCTACCTTGCAGATGCCATCGATGCACATGTTGTTCGTGCCCAGCGTGCAGGGCGTTCCATCCAGCACGGTGGCGCCCCAGTTGGCGATTATCGTGTCGTCCACGTCGCTGCAGAACAGCTTGCAGGGATTATCTGACGGGTATATCGAGAACTCAACTAAGCATCGTATGGAATTCCATCGGGCTGATGGCGTGCGCCGCACTCACTCTTGTCGAAGAAGGGCAGCCACTTGTAGGTGGCTCCCTGGTAGCTGACGTTGTCGAATCGAGCGCACTGCTGCGCCCGGAAGCTGGGCTCCTCCGCCGGACACGGCCGCTTCCGGCAGATCTTGTACCGCTTGCGCTCGCCAATGCAGAAGACGCCGCCGTTGGCGGGCACAGGATTGTCGCACTCCCGCTGCTGCGTGGACACCCCGCCGCCGCAGCTCCGCGAGCACTCGCTCCACTCGCTCCAGTCGCCCCAGCCGCCATTGATCGCCGCCAGCTCCTCGCGCCGGACGCACTTGCCGTTCTGGCACCACTTGTTCCGGCCGCACAATGTGCCCGGTGCGGTGGGCCGCATGTGGGTGACGCACTCGCCGTTCACCTTGCACCACAGCGTCGAGCAGAACTCGTGGGGGGCGGAGCAGGCGCCCACCTCGCTGTCCGTGGTCAGGTTGAACTGCAGGCGGCACTGGCCCCTCGCATTGTAGCGCATGCCCGGCAGCTCGCCCGTGTAGTTGTACTCATCCAAGGGCGTCGGCGGATCGTCCAGGCACTCGCCCAATCCCTGGCTGCAATGGTTCAGGATACGGGTTCATAAGCTGGCTTCATTACCACTTCATTACACTATACTCACTCCAGGAAGTGCGTGATGTACTTGCGGCTGCAGTTCGACCAGCAAACCTGCAGGGTGTCCGCCCCAAAAGTGGGCGTCATGATGTGCACAATGGGCCCCACGCGCGGATGGCAGCCGATCTTCGCGGTATCGTGGAACATCCCGAAGCTGTTGGTCACAGGATAACAACCCATTGGTTACACAAATATGGCATAGGAAATCATGGAAACAAAGTTGCAAAACGGTAGGTAGGAAAAACCCCCTGCAAAACCTGATTACTTTCATAGAATAATAGCCAATTGGAGCGAATGGCAGATGTATCCGATTGAAAGCACATAAGCACCTGTTTTCCCGCCCAGAGAGATTCCGATTCCGATTCCGGTCGGCTTACACAACCCATCGCCACTACATCTTGGAGAGATCGCAGAGATCGGGCGGCTGGATTCGCAGAGGGGGCGGTGAGTCAATCGCGGACTGAGCACGCCAGACTGACTGACGGCCCATTGCTGCACTGGCAGAAAAGTCGCGCGATTTGCAGGTATTAGGTATCAAATTGGAGGAAGCTACTAGTGCAGCTTGCAGACAAAACAACTGGGTTCTTTCGGAAGCAGGAAGCTGTAGTCATTTAAGTGCTACTTATTGGTATGGTCTGATTTTGTGCAGTGCACTCGGACACAGTAGGCGATGCACAGCAACTGGGAAACTGGAAAACTTGGCAGCAAGGCACGAGCATCGACAGATCGACCCAAGCCAATCCAATTCCAAACGATCCGATCGGATCCATTACGTTCCGAGTCCGCAGCTCCAACCCCGCCCACCGACCACCGCCCACCGCCCACCGCCCCCCGCCCGATAAGCCAGCGAAAACCGGACCCGGCTGTCGCTGGGTGTGAGTTGGAATGAGTCCGAGTGTCTGGGTGTGCCGACCGCTGGAGATCGGTGCCGTGATCACGGTGCATCACATGGAATCGTTGTTTTATGTCTTGCAGTGGGGGAGAATATGCATTATTGCATAATTATTTATACTTATATATAATGCTATTGCATACCCTGTGAATGTTAGTTCTGCCGCGGCAAGTGAGTGGTTTGGTTACATTATTTATATGTTATGTTACTAGTAGTGCAAGTAGGGATTCGTCGCTTTAAAAAGAAAAAAAAAATACCCTGTAAAAAAGTTTTTATGCTAAAACTATGCTATGATTGTTAGCCAACGAGTTCTGGACCTTGTCAGGTTTACAGAACAAGCTGTAGTTATCACTGATCACTGTAGTTATACACTGATCAGCAAAAACGTAGAGCTGGACTTAACGAAAACCGTGACATTGAGTGACTAGCAGTGACTGGCAGTGACTGGCAGTGACTGGGCGGTCAGCTCTGGCGACTAATTGAGTTTGAATCGAGCAGGAAGCAGGGGCACATATAAATCTCGATCTGGAGCCGAGTCTAAGCTGAAGCTCAAACTGAATCTGAATCCGAATCGGAATCAGCATTTGTATCTGAATCTGAATATGCAACGCAGGCGATCATTGTCGCTGGAAATAAGGCACTCACGCAGGTGTCAAAGCATCCGTCGCGTCCACTTAGCCGCCTCGTTTGAAATGGAGCCACTTGTGCTCTGGCCAGTTTTTGTTTGCTTGCAGCTCGAGTGTGCTTATGTGTGCTCACTTCGCTGGCGGTTCATTCATGGCACGAAGCGGGCTGGCCATAAATCTTGGCCAGGGCATGGGGATCGGAAGTCGCACTGGATTGAATTGAATCGGCGAGCAGCGCGTGGGGCACGCAAGTTGGCCAACGTCTGGCGCCGCAGGTGGCTACCTGTTACCCATGCTCCTGCCATCCCATCCAGTTACCCACAGTTACCACTACATAGACTTACTTGTGGCCCAGTTCATGGGTGATGGTGTGCGAGAGCATGATGCCATTATCCTCGTTCACGCTGCACGATTGCTTCGGCTTGCACATGCCACCCACGTTGGCCAGGCCGAGTGTCCTGCGGATGAGATGGCTATAGTTGCGGAACCCCCACACCATCGAATTCGACTCACATGCAGTTGTTGGCGCAGATGTTCTTTCGCGTGATGAGGATGGCCACGTCGTGGTGATGCGGATCCATCTCGCTGCCCTTGTTCAGTTTGTGCTGCCAGCTAGCAAAGATTTCATTGGGAAATATATAAAAGAAGGAGTGAGAATGCTTATAATATGTGTAATGGGCTTAACCCACCTGCAGAAGCGATCCAAGTTCTTTTGGGCATTCTGGGTGAGATTCAGCTGCAGCTGGGACTCCTCCTCGTCCAGCTGGATGATGCGCACCACAACGATCTCGATGGAGTTGCCGATGCTGGGATCCTTGTACAGGGCGGACACCATGTTCATGATGGTCAGCAGGTAGCCATTGAGGTCCCTGTGGAAGGCGGACATGGTGGCATCGGCCACGATGAGCGTCTCCACATGCCGTGGACTGCTGATGGATCGCCTGCGCCGCGGAATCTCCGGATGATCCGGCTCCGCTTGGAACTGCGTCTCGTACTTGAATTTGGTGTGCGGCACTCGGTGATTTTTCTGCTGACGTTGGTGGTACTTGTGCTTGTGATGATGGTGATGGTGATGGTGGTGGCGCCGGATTTGACGGCCTCCCTGGACCTTCACCTTGCCCCTGGCCTGCCACTCCAGTCTCGTTTCCATCCGCCGGCGAGGCTCTCGCGTGCCGCAGTTACTGACCTCCGCTCCGGATCCCGATGTGCCACCTCGCTTGCGTTTGTTGCGCTTCCGCGACGAATGCTAGTGGATCGTTAGTCAGGGGTGTATCAAAAGTGAAGTGTAAGCCAGCCAACCCACCTTCGGTTTGACGGAGGAGCGCTGGAAAACCACGTGCGGATGCCCGTTGACTGGATGCGGCTCGTGCTCCTTCGAGGGCTCGATGAAGTACTCATTGCTGGCCGTCCGGATGTGACCCACCTAGGCAAAAAGTGTGTTCAGCGTAATCAGTGTGCAGGGCAGAACACCGCGGATGCACAGCAGCCGCGCAACTCACCAGTCCGGAGCAGGTGGAGATGGCCACATTGGTGGCCAGCTGGCCGCGCACCTTCCCATGGAAGTGGCAGTTGAGCTGCCGCGCCGTCAACGGCGATCGCGTGCGCAGATCCCGCCGATGCCGCTCCACCACCAGATTCGGAGCCAGGAAGTAGCTGTGCGCCCTGAGCTCCAGATGCAGTGACTCGTTCGCCAGCGGCACCAGCAGATGCAGGTCCGCCGCATGGCTGTCCAGCTCCGAGCTCAGGCTGCGCCTCTGCCGATGCCGCCGATGATCCAATTCGTGTGCGAACTCCAGCTTGTGGGTCATGAATGCCCCATCGGGATGCACTCGCTGTGGCACCACCAGCTGCCCCCCGCCCGCCATCAGTTCGTCCGAATGGAGGCCGTATAGTGGACGTACCCCAACGCCCTGCGTCACCGCGATCAGACAACAGTGGAGCAGCAGGCCCAGCCAGCGTCTTCCGATCCACATCCTGCTGCACGCCATGTTCCTCATCCCGATCCTAGTCCACAGCCCTAGCCGTTATCCAGGCGTTGTCTCAGCAGCATGGCAGCGGTCGCATAATACGGATCTTGGGATCTGGTCAGGATCAGCGCTCGCTGCAATGGAGATGCTTCAGATGTATCTCTTCTCAATTTTTTTTTTTTTATACAGATTTTTAAAGCCTTTTCAGTAGCAAACTAGAGATATGTCGCTTGTTAATGAGGCAATCAATCTTTGAAGTACTGAGCAAAGCACTGAGCTGCGGTTTTATTGCCGCTCATTGTGGTTTCCATGTGGACCTGGCGCCATCCAACCCAGTTGTTGTTGAAGCAATCGATTCCCTCGATCCCAGCCCAAGCCCATCTAATCCCATCTAGAGCCAATCCGATCTGAGATTATAGAGGCCATAAAAAGAAAGAGTCCACTTCCAGATACAATAAATAATCGGTGATTTGCCTTTTTGGCTTTTAGCAAACGCTTTCGAGATGAAACGCAGACAATGGATGGGCCAACAAAAAATATGGTAGACATAAAAAAAAAGAAGAAAAAAAACTAAAAAGACACGGGCCATAAAATTAAGCAAATTTTTTGGAGTGCGGCGCTTCAAAGACAGCAACAACCATAACAACAACAGCAACAACACATTATCAAAGCAACACGACAACTTAATTATTCAAAAGATTGACGCAGTCAACGGCGCTCTTATCACGATCACGATTTGTAATTTATGATAAATGTTGGCAATTCCATTAATAAAATTTAACAAAAGCTCATTAGCTCCACAGCAGCCGACTTGCAGTCGAAGGAGCAGACCAGCCAAAATATCAGACCCCATGGCACCCAGTGACATTGCGCATACCCTGTAAAGTGCTTTAAATGAGGCAGCAAACTAGTATCACTTATGATGTATCTTCAATATTTAGGAACTAACAACGGATGGCACTATGTGCGGATATAGATGTTCAGCTTCATCAGATGGTTGGCAGATAGTCGCAACTACCCCACCCACCAGTGTGCTGGGGAGCACGTATCCAACGCCAATGACCTTGACGATGGCGCCTGGGGCGCAGGTGCCGTTCTCAATTCGAACTCATCGCGGCCATAATGATGGCAATAAAATATGCGCTTAAATATTGGATATACCCCAAAATTCCCACTCGCCCAAAGCCCGCCCATTCCTGTTTCGATTTTGATTCTGTGTTTCGATTTTGATTCGAGTTGCGGCGAAACTTGAAAGACTGCCCAGCTAAATTAGCAAGCGCCACATGATCGTACATATATTAAAATGTGCCCCTTGTCCAGCCATCCGTCCATCCATCCAGCCAACCATCCAACCATCCAGCCATCCATCTGTTTGTCCCATTATGCTGCAGTGCCTCCGGTCCGCCGATCCTCAATGGCGTGGAATGGCGTGGCTGCCAGCAGGCGCCACTCTTAATTATCAATCAATCAATCACTGCCGCCCGACTACTCCCTCCATTAAATGTCAGCCAATTGATTGCAGACTGTCTGCCACGCCCCTCACTTCCCCTGCCGCCCCGCCCAACCGAGATTCACATACATATATATATATATAAATGCATATAGAAGCCAGGACTCGCTCGAATTTATGGCTGATTCCAAGATCAGAGTGGCAGCTTTGAATACAAATAGAGGGCTAGCCCAATTTGATAACGATTTCGTGTGAATTTTAGGTACTTCCCCTCAATCCAACAAACCGGATAGCAACAGTTGGAATAACTTAACATATATTTAATGCAAGAATTCATTGAGAAGGGCAAATTTCGTGGAAGTGTCCCCAAACGAATCGCCGCATGATCTCATATGACTTGACTGCTCTCCACATGCGATGCGCTTACTCTTCGGGCATTTCACTTGAATTCCCCAGATCGAACTCCTCCGCATAATAATAGATAGCAAACTCTGACTATTTTCGTTAACGTTCCATTCAAACGTTGGCGTTTCATTAATTCGCTAGTTCGGTCTTTAGGCGATTTGTTGAACATTTATCACTGGATTTGTCACCTCTGGTTTTTGGCCATCGATCATCCGCGTCGAACATTTATGCTAATGAAAGACCAAATCAAGATCGGACACACATACTCCTCCTCCTTTCCCGGCGGCCACGACCACATTCGTGAAAAGCGAAAAACAAAGTCCAAAAACAAAAGTCAGACCCTCTGGCTGGCGAATTTCCGATTTCACTTTGTGGAGAGGCGAAGCAATTTGTACGCCCACCATCTATCCAGCTATCCAGTTGGCCAGATCGGATCCCAGAAGGAGCCCAGTACCCAGCACCCAGTTCCAGACCTGGATCCAGACTAGGCCGCAGTTGGATGTGGATGTGGATGTGGATGTTTTGGGGGTAAGTCTTGGGTGATCGGAGATCGGGAATGGAATGGGGCATCTTTGGCTGGGAGCTCCATTGATATGTCTTGCCATTCATGCATTGTAGTTTCATTGAGAAACTCAGAGACAGGCGCACATGGAGCAGGCATACCCTGTGAATTCGGGTATACGCGAACTCATTCAAGCTCTACGAATTTGTTTTTGATTGATTAATATCATTTAGAATTTTGCATGATCATTTTTGGGACTTGAAATTTGAGGCAGAAGTCAAAATGCGCTTTCTGTTGCACTAATGTGGCTGAGGTCGGCGAGGGTATCAACGCCTCGTATCGCAGCCCAGTTTGCCTCCTTTCTCGTTTCTTTTCATTTATGGCGTTTTTTTATGAATGAAATGAAGCTTTTCACGTAAAACGACGATTCCATATTGCTCGCTCGACTTTGTTGGGTTGCTTGGTTGGTTGGCTGGCTGGTCGGGTTGCCCATAGCCCCATTCCCCACTCTCTGATCACCAACCCCCCCCCCCCCCCCTGCCACGCCCCTGATTATGGGGGGCCCCGCCCTCGCCGGATCGCACGTTACTCCGATGATTTCGCTCCTATCTGGGGGCACATTTGAATCTCTATGGCTTCGCGCATGTGGGCCGAAAATGTATTTTTATGGCAGCGTCGTTCGATTTGTTATTTCATTTGTTTTCTGTTTGTGTTGTTTGGCGTTGTAGTACACACATGTCCGCTGGACAAGTCTTTATCTTTGCCCATTTTTTTGGTTTTTTTTGCGCTTTCTGCACAGCCATTTCTCATTTCTCGGGGATGTTCCTCTGCTTTTTTATGAACAAAACACTGCGAGCAGATCGCTTCAATTCGGCTTATTTGTCATTTGACATTGTGACATTTTTTATTTTCACCGCACTTCTTTTGTGTTTTTGTATTTTGTCTTGTTTTTCGTGAGATCACACACAGGAAATTGGCTGCGGAAAACTCCAAGATGCTGCTGCTACTGCGATGTCCAAGCAGAAATGGGTGAGTTAAGGGGTTAGTTACTAGATGCACCTAGGAGCTGAGAACTATCTGCCTGAAATTTCGGTTGGCCCACTGACTAAGCTAACAAATGTATCGGGCATCCGACTATCAGATACCATCGCTGGTTCGAAGATACTTCGCATTCTTGGGATGCCCCGACTCACCGATTCCGAATTCGAACTGGAATCCAATTCCGAGAGGCGCCGCTGATGAAGCCCGCAAATATTGTAACCGCAAACAAAAGCAAAAAAAGCCCGTCGGCAGCAGTTTAGCTTTATTATTCTTTCTTTTTTTTGTGTTTTTTTGTATTTTATTTAGGGGAGGCGATTATAACGCCAGGTAGGAGAACCCAGGCCCCAGACAGCCGCTCTTGCACAACAATGGCCGATGATTTCACAAGTCGCGAACCTCGGTTCACAGGCACAGGTAAAAACAAAAACAAACAGCAAAAAACAAAAAAGAAATACCCAAAACCGGGCAAAACAAAAAATAAAGCGCGTTTTCGAAAACTCCAAAATTACGATTCGAATCAATCACACACGCACACGCACACGCACACGCACACGTACACACACACGCACACGCACAGTATATCTATATACGAGTCTCTTTTTTTGTCTGTATGGGAGTGGAGTCTGCGTCTGTGTGAAAGGACGCCGTTCGGATCTAAGGCAAACTGTCGTACTGTGCACACTTTCCACTGGAGTTTCCGTTCTTCCCGGCTTGGCGGCGGCTAAATCGGCGTTTTCCCTGATATTTTCCAATGACTCTCTGCGGGAAGCGTGGCACAAGAGCGCGGGTGAAGAGATATCGTGCAAATACAAAGTGTCGAGCGTTGTGTGTTGCTTAAATAGATTTTCCTCTCGATCTGTTCGAACCGCCCGGCTCGACGTCGAACCTGGTCCAGTGTTGCCACAGTAGCTGGCTAAAAAATAAGTAAGTAGCTAAAAAAATCTTTAAAAACTTTAAAAGCTAAGCAATAATTTGAATACCTAATTATTTATTATTTATTTATTAAATTCGACCTTTTTCCATTTTCATAACAGTGTTACCTGTGGAAAATTACAGCGCTACTTGGACTTAAAGCGATTTCAAGCGCTTCGAACTGCAAAAAGTATGCTACATTTTGTTTCTTATTTAGGGATTACTCTATTAAGGATTTGCGTGCTATTATTCCTCGCCAGCTTGGCCGTTCCGAGGGACGCACTTGCGCAGCACTGGCTGATCTCTCGCAACCGGTTCGAGCCCGGTTCGATGTCGAACTTGGCTTGGCCAAGAGAGAGAGCTCTTCGTGCTAACAGTGAAAATAAAGCGCATGTGTCCTTGGCCAATCAGCTGGCCAAAAATGCTTAGGAAAGTTCCAGCGGTGTTTCCCATGCATTTAGTTGTTTCATAATTTCTGTCCTTTCCTTTGATTCATTTTTATACCATAAATGTATTCTGCTAACTATTTTGGATAACAGCAACCGTTTACGGTAACATCATTTTCGAATTCAAAATTGGATCCTTCCAGGTGAAGCCTTTTTCCAAAAGGAATATCTTCTAATTCCAATCTGAACTTCTGTTACAACTACTTGAATTTGTTTTGCAACAAATTGGAAAAAGTTAAAAGTTCTGGTGCCAATCAGAATCCCTATAAAAATGCCAATTCGACTAAATGGTTTTCCGAAAGTTTATATTATTAACTCTATTAATTTCTTATATTTTTTTGGGTTTTAAAGAGAATGTTTGCTAATTTAATCAGTTTTACGCGCAGCCCCTAAAAGTAGGCAGCACAACTTGTGGTTTTTGAATTGAATTTATATCATTTAATTCCTGTGTAACTCCTTTTGTTACTAACAGAGCCCCTGCGTTCTTTGTAGCCAGCCTTGACTGTGGCATCGCAGACTGTTGCCATGCGTGTTTGCCGTATAATTATAATCGTATCATGCATATCTGCTTTATGGCGTCGATCCGCAGAAATTGCTGCCTTATCGCGCTGCCTCCAGAAGCCGCGCCAGTGTCCAAGTCCACGTACAGAAGGAGTTCCATGCCCGTGCCCCAGCCCATGTCCACGTCCATGTCCATGTGCGCGTCCATGGTGGCGGCCGACCAGGGGGCGGTGTATTCCGCCAAGGACACACCGTTAAATGTGGAAAATTGCCGGCGGGCCAGCAGCAGCATACAAAACAAAGAGGAAAAAGGCAGAGGGGAGTAAATTGTTGAAAATTATCACATACTAAAGACGCCGCGAGGATGCGACTGCATCTGATCCCGCTCCCGCTCCCCCACCCCTTCCCCCGGCGAGCACGAAACAAATCACATTATTAGCCGCCGTCGTTGTTGCACGTTATTTTTAAAATTTTTCGTTTCGTTCGGCCCCCGTTTGATTTTAGGCGCCAAGCCGATGTCGCCGGCGTTTGGCTGCAAATTGCGGCGACACGTCTGGAGCGTGGCAGCAGCATTCAGCAGTACACTGGGCGTACAAATGTGCTTTAAGGTGTTTTAATGGAATTAATTCCTAAAATTACGCTCAGTCAGTACGCAAGGGCAGTATTCAGTGCACTGAGATTGGACCTAAACGCTCAACAACCTATCGCACTAAGCAACTACACTGTTTCTTTCAGTGCACACACTCACACACACGAGCCGCAGATAAGGCAACGAAAAAAGCGTCGAGGGAGAGCGAGTGAGATGGAGATAGAGATACAAGATAAGAGAGACAGCCAACAGACGCCAGACAACAAAAAAAAAAAAAACAACTGCAACAACAACGACGCCGGCGAAGACGCAGCATCGCCCCTACACTGGAAAAAACAGCGGCACGTAAGTCACGTGTATCCACAAGCTAGTAGTATGTGCAAGACGTTCGCATCTGTGAGATACTTTTGTTGATCGCAGATCCTCAAGATCAATGGCAAGTGATGGCAATACCGCAATGGGTGTGTGATTTTTTCAGTGTACCGGCGACGCTGCCGCTGCGATGCCAACAGATATCAAGCACGTCTCAATCTCAATCATTCAGGGCCGGGCTCCGGGAAAGGTTTACGTTTACGTTTCAGCCGCTGCCGCTCAATTAACAATGAAAAGTCGGTCTGGTACGTCATAATATATTTTTATCTGATTACCTGGCTGCGGTGTGCACTAGAGGTGGACCCAAAATGTATTGTATCGGGTTTAATGACATGTGTTTTAATGTGAATGAGCAAAGGATTGCATAATTCTGTCGGTTATCAAACACAGTTCAATAGCAAGACACCCGTTTGCATTACAATACTAATACGGAATTCGTTTTCGAAGCTGGTACCAAACTTATGATTGCCAAACGCACAACTATCGCAGAGCGTGATCCTCAGGCCGTGTCACGGGTTCACCTCTAGGAGCCTGAATGGCAGACAGTGGCGCCGGTCGCCAGGGACCAAATGGGAGCCAGGTCCCAGAGATCCCACCGATCCAACCGATTCAACAAAATCGTGCGTTATTCGTCCGTCTCGACACACACACACACGCACTCAGATACTGTATCTTCGTATCTTTGTATCTGCGGCTAGGCGACTCCAAGCGACTGGAACAACATCATTGCTCGTCTGTCCGTCATCCGTGCTGTTGGCATTGTTTCCCCTGCTTGTGGTTGTGGATGTTTTTGTTGCTTGTGGTCTATGTAATTTTTCGCGTGACTCCCATGTCAAGATTTGATCTCTAGCAAATCTCACTGGTCTGCTGGCGTCAGTCTCCAAGTCTCCAGGTCTCCAAGTCTCATCAAGGCGACGCCGCCCGTGTCCCGGCTTAAAAGCTTCATTACTGTGGGAATTACGCAAATAAATTGTAAAAACTCGACTCGGATTTAAAAAGTCCTAAAGAGCATCAGCGTCTGGAGGAATAGTTTCAACTAATGTAATAACATTAAATAACTCTGCTTTTGAGCTAATTGGTGTGGGCTTTAAACCTAAATGGGTGAAATTGTTTGTTATATTCATATAATATGAACCCTTTTACGTTTAACTTATCTTAAAACCCATTTTGGTTTTCATTACAATACAAATCGACAATAAGAGGCGCTAATTCATGGCATACATTCAAAATTTTCATATTTTCTGGCTATTGTGCTTATTTCCCAATATGAAATTAGGTGCCATGCAGCCTCAGATTTCAAATCACCACTTATCGATACCAGCTGGCGCGAATGGTGATCGAAATGCGATAGCAAAACAGCTGGTTATCAGCACCTGGCCAATATCGATAGTCAACAAAATCCAGATGTGAGAGAACATTTTGTGTTGTTTTGGCCAACAAATTGGGCCCTGTTTCTAAGTGTTCTTGCCATTGGGACGCGGGCACCTTGATCCTGCCTAAAGGAGCCTGACCAACGGGGTCAGATGGCGCGCAATGTGCTCGAGAGCAGCCTGCTGGGCGCCGGCTTCAGCATCATCTTTCAGGTGAGCCCAGCGCACTGGGAATCTATTTTGTGTCTGTGCCCAGTGCCTCGGAATTGTGTTACTCATCCGCACCGCTGCCGTCGTCTTATCGCCCCGCAGATACTGTGCCGCATCCTCACCTTCGGCATCAACGCGTACATCGTGCGTCATGTGGGCCGCGAGGTGTTGGGCATCATGAACGTCCGCCTGCTGCTTCTGGAGAGCACCCTGCTCTTCCTCTCGCGCGAGGCCATCAACCGGGCGGCCCTGAGCGCCAATGCCCAGCAGGGCGATCGCTGCTCCTGGGCGCAGCTGATCAACCAGATGTGGCTAACGTATGCAATCCCCACCAGCTGCTGCCAGGGGATCAGGAAGGATAGCTTCAAGGTCTCCTGCCTGACATCCTGCGAAAACTTGAGCTTTCCTACGTCATACTACACTTATAATACATTTTCCTCTTTATTTCAGGGTTCCCATTTGTGCTGTTTTGTGTGCTCCTTGCCTATACATTTGGCTGAACTGGCTGTCGGCGGTGGACGCCATCTACGCCTCGCAGTACGAGTTCGCCTGCTATGCCGTGGCCTTTTCCTGCGTCCTGGAATTGATGGCCGAGTCCGCGGTGTTTGTCGCCCAGGTCTTTTGCTTTGTGAAGCTAAAGATCCTGCTGAATACGCTGCACATCCTGGTGCGGTCAGCCATCTTCCTGTGGATTGTCACCGGTGATCGCAGTGCGGCAATCAATGCCTTTGCGATTGCCCAACTCTCCAGTGCAGTGACGATTGTCCTGGGCCAGTATGGCTTCTTCTACTTTTACCTGAAGGGCTTCAAGGATTTCGTAGCCCAGCAGGCGAAAAAGAAACCGGTGGCGCCGAAAGCCTGGCAGGTCTCGCTCTACGAGCACATGGACGACTTCCCCTTCAAGCAGCTGAGCGACTTCCTCCCCGGCGTGATGTTCAATCCGAACGGAAAGCATTTCAACCGGGAACTGCAAACGCTCACCCTGAGTTTTGTGAAGCAGGGCGTGCTTAAGCAAATCCTCACGGAGGGCGAGAAGTACGTGATGTCCGTGTCGCCGGTGCTGAGCTTCGGGGAACAGGCCACCTACGATGTGGTCAACAATCTGGGCAGCATGGCGGCCCGCTTCATTTTCCGGCCCATCGAGGACAGCTCGTACTTTTACTTCACGCAGACGCTATCCCGCGACATCAAGCTGTCCAAGCAACCGCAGGAACGCGTCCGCCAGGCGAGCAGTGTCCTGAACAATCTGCTCCTGGGCGTGAGCTCCATTGGCCTGATTGCCTTCACCTTTGGACAGAGCTACTCGTACCCAGTGCTGCTGCTTTACGGCGGTCCGGATTTCGTGGCCGGCGGCTTGCCGCAGAGCCTCTTGCAGTGGCACTGCCTGGCGATCTATCTGCTGGCCGTGAATGGGATCAGCGAG